GCCTAAAACTACTTCTTCCTCCTACTCCTTAATATGACTATAGATGCTTCACTTCAATTTAAGTACAGCTGATTATTTGAGGCTTGAGAGAGCTATAGTGGACAAGATAGATGTTCATGGCCAGACAGGCTGAGGTTCGAAGTTTGGCTCCTGCGTTTGAGGGCTATATAATCTCATGCAGGTTATCTAATTTTTGTGAACCACCGTTTTGTTTTCCTTTAAAAGGAATGGATATTTAATATGTTATAAGGACTAAATGAGCAGAGTACCCAAAAACAGTGGCTTCTGTATTTACCAATGTCTGCAATTCTCTGTATTCCTTCAGATAAGACATGTTGTAGCACTGAACAGATCACTTTAAAGATCTAGACTGGCTGTAACACAAGATTTTCTTTTAATTGAGTCTTTCCTGACATTCAAAGGACTTGTAACTTACAATGTACCTCTTAACAGGTCTTAGAAACCCCTAGATGTACCATCTGCCAATCCAGCCTCTATAATGTAATTTAATTAATTTTTCTAAATTTAAGTCTAAACACTTCATTCCCTCCTATGCGGCTATTTAATGGCTCCCTACTGTTGCCTACAGTATCAAGTCTTGGCAATTTGACAACGTGCAGCCACTCCTCTCACCTCATCTCTGCCCCACTCCTCATCTGCATCGTATACTAGAGTCCTTCAAAACTACTGGAGTTCTTACATAAAAGTTATTGCTTCATGCCCGTGTGACTTGTCAGTCTCGTTTTGTCAATGTCCTTCCATGCTTGTCACTTGGTGACAACTTTTTATCCTTTACTTACATAGGGAAATGATCCAATATTACCAACCAGAATTTCGCCTTGTCTTCTTATGGGAACACTGAGTTTCTCTTTAATGATTATCATTTTACATTGCATTTGTTTTCTTCCAGCTAGTGAGTTTTTCAGTAGGGTCACTGTTGTAGACTGGACAGGATTTTTCTCACCCCAAACTCTGTTAGGAGTTAAAGTCTTATGCTAACAGTTGATGGATAAAGGGTGGAAACTTGATCTAACTATGGTATCTAAGAGGTGGGCCTGGTGGGAGGTGTTTCAGTGACTGAGGACTTTCCCTTGGAAGGCAGTTCTCTTGAGAGGGTTGATTACATAATTTGAGCAGGCTTACTGGGTCGCTCTGTTTCCTAGCTTGTCATGTGAACACTACCCTGCATCTCCTCAGCCACTGCTGGCCTCCACCCAAGGCCAGATCAATGGGGCTATGTGAACTTTGATTGAGAGCCTCCAACTGTGAGTCAAATAAGTCTCCTAAATTGTTCCTTTCAGGTATTTTAGATAAAGTAATGAAAAGCTGACTCATATAGTCACTATCTCAATAATCTTTGTATTTTAAATGTCAAGTACAGTGGCTACCACAAAAGGAATATTCAGTACATGGTTGCTGAAAAAATGAGTAAAGGAATAAATGCATGTAACTAATCATGTTCATGCAAGGGCACTTCAAAGAACTGATAAGAAAACAATTAAAAGGTAAGTTCATTTTGGTGCAAAATAATTATGAAATACACGCCTATTTTTCCTTAATATGCACTTTTCATGAATTTTTTGAAGAACCCTTACATGTATGGATTTCAAAATTTTTGCACCATTAATACAGTTATCTTTTTTTTTTTTTTTTTTTTTTTTTTTTGACAGGCAGAGTAGACAGTGAGAGAGACAGACAGAGAAAGGTCTTCTTTCCATTGGTTCACCCCTCAATGGCCACTGTGGCTGGTGCACTGTGCTGATCCGAAGCCAGGAGCCAGGTGCTTCCTCCTGGTCTCCCATGCAGGTGCAGGGCCCAAAGACCTGAGCCATCTTCCACTGTACTCCTGGGCCACAGCAGAGAGCTGGCCTGAAAGAGGGGCAACTGGGACAGAATCCGACACCCCAACTGGGACTAGAACCCGGGGTGCCAGTGCCACAGGTGGGGGATTAGCCTATTGAGCCGCTGCACCGGCCTACATTTATCTTTTAATTCAATTTTCCCTGAATTTTTTTGGACATATCCTTGGAGGTTATCATAGTTTAAAGTGTAAAGATGATGAGCTTTTTGTACATTTGGATTCAAACACAGGCTCAGTTACCTGGGTGAGCCTCAGTTCACCATGTATGTTAACTCTTGCTATTTTCATTTGGACTAAATGAGATATGTTAAGAAATGGATTAAATTTCACAACTGATTTACGGAAGGCACAATATAAATACGGGTTCTCTTATGTTCTCTATGAATTCACAGATCTAAGAATTTAACAGGACAAATAGTTAAAATGTTGTTTTTAAGGAGTGAGTAGTTGGCCTAGGAGTCAGGATACCTGTATCCCATATTTAAGTGCCTGGATTCAATTCCTAGCTCCAGTCCTGATTCCAGCTTCCTGCTAATGTGCTTTCTGGGAGGCAGTGGTGGCTGTTCAAGTATCTGGGTTCTGGCTACTTATATGGGGGATCTGGATGGAGTTGCTGACCCTTAGGCTCAGCCTACGTTCAGCACCAGTTGTGAGCATTTGGTAGGTCAACCAGTGATGGGAACTCTCCTCTCTCTGCCTATCTGTGTCTCAAATAAATGTTTTAAAAAATTAGTACTTCACATCAGGTTATCAAAAACCCAGAGATCACAGGAACTATCATGTATTACAGATGCACATCTTTAAAAATATACAAGATCTTGGTTTCCACATTTACTAACCAGAGATAATGATACTTACTGCATAGGACTGGATAGGTGCTTGTGAAGACCAGCTGAAATCAAATACAGTCTGGCAACATTTCAATGAAATTTTGGTCAACAACAGACTACAAAGATGATGGTGGTCCCATAAGATTCTATCAGTTGATGACACTGTAGCAGTCCTAATTGTAGTAATTATATAATCAAATGACATAGCCCTCATATGCTATTTATGTGATAAATTCACCTAAAGATGTATTTCTCAGAATGTATCCCTATCAATAAGCAACATGTGACTATAAAGTAAGTGCTCAATAAATATTAGGTTCCTTCTCTCGTCCACAAAATGAATCAAACTGTAAATATCACTGTAGATTATCATACTGTTCAAGCAATAAAAAATTGGCATTTCCCCAAAGTTCAATAGACTGAATATTATAGCGAATATTGCGACAAAATTGACATACAAATGCAGTGGGATTCCAGAAAACATACCAAGGTTAAGAATACCCACTTGGCAACCATGCAACCTGAGTTACCACCTATTGGCTGGTAGTCACAGGAAAGTCCCAGAATCTGTCATTCAGGCTGCTTTTCTATAGTAAGAACATTTGCATTATAGGACGGTGGTTAGGAGTGCTGTGCTCACATGATCCTGAATACAGACTTACGAAACTCAAGGAAGCAGTAATACAGTACACACTCAGCAAATGATGTATGGGTGGGAGACTTGCTTTGCCAGGGTTTTTTTAGATCAAAATTTGAAATATTTTGCATTATGATTTCAAACAAAATTTAGGAAAATGACTTTTTTTTTTAAATAAAGAATACAAACCTTTGAGTTAGGAAATCTACCTTAGAATTTCATTTTTCCATTTAGTCTCTGTCTTTTATACTCCTTTTCTTCATCTCTACAATGGCATAGCACTACACACTTCATAAAGTGACTGTGAAATTTCAATGAAATAGTAGGGATATAGTCTTATCTGGCATTCACTGATATGCCAGTCATTGGCTCAATGAATAATTAGGAGTGTGCTACTCCCATTATAATAAAACATACAAACATGATGAACAAGGCAGCTATGCAAAAAGAGCAGTTGAGAGTCAAAATTTGAATGCTACTTAATTTGTTACAAGTTAGGTAAGAAAATAAATTGATCGGAGTAAAAATGAAAAAGTCAGTAGCACAATTAACAAATGTGAGACTGAGTCCAAGCTTAATTGGCACAGAGTTCAAAAGTGATTTTATGCTTTATCAATCTATATTTATTTGTGCTTCATAATCACTGTAAAGCCAGTATTTTATGTTTGTCTATCTTTGTACTGTGCTTAGAATTTTAAACATGGGGCCAGCGCCGCGGCTCACTAGGCTAACCCTCTGCCTTGCGGCGCCGGCACACCAGGTTCTAGTCCTAGTCGGGGCGCCGGATTCTGTCCCAGTTGCCCCTCTTCTAGGCCAGCTCTCTACTGTGGCCAGGGAGTGCAGTGGAGGATGGCCCAAGTGCTTGGGCCCTGCACCCCATGGGAGACCAGGATAAGTTCCTGGCTCCTGCCATCGGATCAGCGTGGTGTGCCATTGGAGGGTGAACCAACAGCAAATGAAGACCTTTCTCTCTGTCTCTCTCTCTCACTGTCCACTCTGTCAAAAAAAAAAAAAAAAAAAGAGGAATTTTAAACATGGAATAAAAGATGTCTAAGCATTTAGGAAAAGATTATGAACAGAATAAACACTGATTTAATTTAACACCAACTATCAGAGTATTTTACCAGAAGAGGTAACTATAAGACTACATTATGGCTCTCATATTATTTATTTCTGGGTAAATATTTCTTCAGAAAATGAATCAGAACTAACTCATTATTCACACGTAGGATTCTGAAGTTGTAAAATAGGAGCACTGCAGACAAGAAACTGAAATATTTTATGAATAAGGTTAAAAAAAAACTTGGCATTTTCTTCTCCTGGCAAGATTTACTCATTTCTGATGTGATTTTTGGCCTCAGAACTGAAAAGTGAGACTTTGAGGCCAGAGTTCCATCTAAGAATATAACGAACACTTAAGTTAAATGTTTAGGGAAAAAAATTCTATTTTGATTACCCAAGCCTTAGTGCTTTAATAGTACAGTAAATTTTGGTGGGGTAATACATGCTAGTTGTTGGAGAGACAGCACTTTTTCAATTGAAGTAAACAAAAAACAGAATAGTGCAAGCAAAATGAGTCTCTTTAGCTAATTATCACACTTTCTCCAGGGTACACAACTAGGAAAGGGCACAGTGTCTGCTGTGGGGTCTGGTAATGAAGAATGACTCTTACCTTTGTGCTGGGGTGCTGTAGCTGTTATCATAGGAATCATAACTCTGTTCATCATAAGCAGTGCCATATCCATCATCATAGTCCTAAAATACAATGGGAGGAGTACAAAAACATCAGAGAAGTTTCTGGAAAGAAAGAAGCATTCTGCTTTCAGTCAATTTTCATTAATTCAGCTAGCCTTTAACTCTATGTCTAATTAACAATGTAAAGAAAAACACAGGTGTGACTTCATTGAAAATGAAATAAGAGAACTTGCAAGCAGTGAGCCAGAATCATCATTTTCAGAATCCTGGAAATTAACCAAAGGATTCAGAGATATAGGAAACACTGATTTTTGAAAAAGTGGTCAAAACCTGGTAAGAGCAGCAAATTTTGTGCTGTTTTAAGTGGTTCTATTTCTACCCTCTCTCCCTCAGCTTTGGGGGAGCACTGAAGATCACCAATGGGAGAGACAGAACAGGGCTGGGGCTCTTTCAAAACTCATTCACAGAGAACTGTTTTTATCGGCCTTTTATGCAGTGCAGAAAGCCTTTTGCCTCAGTTTATCAGAAGAAAATAATTTTAGGCAATTGTTTAGGACTTCAGCTGCTTCAAGTGGTAGAGAAAAACTGGGAAAACAATATGCTAATCAAAGAGATTCAATGTTAAAGTAAGGATTGAAATGTCCACACAGGCTTTGAAAAACCCTGAAATATTCCCGAGAATCTGGAAGGCCACATCCACGCATAGTGTTATGTCCACATTCCACAAAGACCTGAAATGGCCTGAGCGTTCTTCTGGCTTACCACCAGGTCTGTATAAGCAGGAAATGGAAAGCTAGCTAAGAATTAGTTCTACATTAACTGATGGAATCTCACAAACAAGTCCCAGGGTGCACCCAAGGGGCTCTGTCAAAGAGTAGGAAGTTCACTGAAAATCTCTAATCAGTAGCTTTTGAAAACAATAAGCTAATACAGAGGTCTTAATGGTGAAGCATGATAGATATAGACTTTAAAAACTAGTTTGGAAAAGTCATTGAAGAAAAAATAAAGCAAACAAACCTTGGAAAAATTTAACTTCCAGAGTACACAAATTATATTAAATATCCAGTTTTAAGCAAAAAAAAAATTGAGACAAGTATGCTCTCATACAAGGAAAAAAGTCAATAAAAACTTGAGGAAGCCCCTGAGGAAGATACCAGACTTATTAAACAAAACTATAAGTTGGCTACTTTATATACAGTCAAGGAACTGTAAAAGATATACACTGCTTAAAAACAACTAAGGAAAATATGAGAAAAGGGCATCACCAAACAGTAAATGTTAATACAGAAAACATAAACAACCAGAATAAATTCTTGAGTCTCAAAGTATAATAATTGAAAGGAAAAATTCATTAGAGAGGCTCTTCAGCAGATATGAGTAGGCAGAAGAAATGGTAACTTGAACGCAGACGAATGGAGATTAACCAGTGTGTGGAAAAGAAAGAAAATAAGGGAAAATGAACAGGGCATCAGAGAAGTGAGGACACCAAATGAATGGACATGCACATGGTCAGATACCTACAAGGACAGCAGAGAAAGCAGCAGAAGTGTACTGGGAAAAACAGTGGTGGAAAACTTCCCCAAACTGATAAAAACTTTATACATCCAAGAAGCCAAACGATCTGTAAAATTTTTTAAAATTTAACTTTATTCAGAAGGGAGGGAAAGGGATATAGAGATATTCCATCTATGTGGTCATGCCTTAAATGCCCAACAGCCAGAGCTGAGCTGAACCAGAAGTCCAGGACACAGTCCAGGTCTCCTACATTAGTGGCAGGATCCAAGTACTTGAGTCATCACTTGTTGCCTCCCAGAGTGTGCATTTGCAGAAAGGTGGACCTGCAAGTGGAGTTGGGACTCAGACTCTGGGGGCATTCCAACTGGCATCTGAATCACTGTAGCCAATGCCCACCCCTCAGCAATCTCCAGTACATTACTGTTAAACTGAAAGGTAAACACAGACACTTCCCTGATTCTGGATTGGGCATGGAGTTCTTAAAATACGCCAGCAAAACCAAAATAGCCAAAGACAATAGATAAAATGGGCTTCGTCAAAATTAAACTTTTATCCTTTAAAGCATACTAACAGAAAAGTTGAGACAATTCACTAAATGAGAGAAGATATTTGCAAATCATTTATTTGATAAACTGTCTAGTATCCAACTCTACAATTAAAATAAAAAAAAATAACCCAATAAGAGCAAAAGTTCTACTGGGGACAGACTTTACACTGAGGAAATTTTACAGGTATTAGCAAGCACACTATGGTTATTTAAAAAGTATCATGGGATTTAAAAAAATCTAGAAAAACTACTATTCTGTAAGATCAAATGAGATGTGTGTTATTCAGTAATGTTTATATCCATGAAACTATGAATCCTATTCAACAACTGATTTCTAAGTTTCCAGACTTATTCAATTATATAGTGGCTATGGATTTACTGGGATAGTATTTAACTTAATATTCAAATAAGCCTGAAAATAACATCTAAGACAAGTATATTGGGATATCTATATTATTGGTGGAAATGAATTTAATGATTGCAGAGTATACACCAAATTTCTTGAAGTAGAGAAATGTGGTCTCAGAATAAAAGAAAGGGTCTGGCTTCACGTAGGCTTCTATAGTTTGACATCAATGAATTTAGGCAAGCTTATTCATGTACCAGAACCCGTATCTCTACCTGTAAAGTGCAAACCTTTGCAAGCATCTTAAAGGGATGAGAAAATATATGTACATATGTGAATATATATTCCAGCCCAATTCCTGACACATGAAGAATTTCATAATGTATAGCTTGTTTTAATCATTATCACAGTACAGTAGTGTCCACACAGACCTCTCTCATAGATTTCTAAAATACCACAACTCACAGATGTAGAACATCAGAAGGTACTACATGAAAGGTATCAGTCAAATGACTGGCTTTAAAGTGATCACTTCATTCTCTTTTAAAAAAGCATCTAATACATAGCAGACCTCAATTTATTTTAGAAAGACACACATATCTAAATAGGAATTACACTGTAATGCTTTCAGTTATGTAAAACATACATTAACATAAAAAGATAGTATTAAGGTTTGTATAATTTATACATAATCACCTAGATTTGTCATTATTATTATCAGTTTTTACAAAGGAAGAACCAAATATCTATCAAAGATACATGTTCTGTACTTTGGAAAGAACATATACCAGAATATAAAATACTCATTAAAATGGGAGACAGAAGAAAAATAAAAGTCAGGAATAAGCTTATAAATCAATAAGCAAGTTATCATGTTCTTCATAGTACTACCAGTACATTACAAATTTTGCTATAACTTTCCAGTGGCAACACAAGGATGAGAAGGCTTTTACACAACCAAGGGAAAAAACTGAAATGATTTTGGTTATTTGGAAAGTAGCGAAATGCAAGCATTACTAACAATTCTGACAAATTCATAAATTAAAAAAAGTGGGCATCTCCTAACAAAAAGAAGTTGCTATTAAATTTTTTAAATCTTCACCTGGCACCTACTCTGTTTCTGGCACTCTGCTAGATGGAAAGGCACCTCACAGTCTGGTGTGTGCACTGACCACAGGTGACATGGGAGAGATGAAGAACAACTAAAGAGACAACTATAATTCCAACTATAATTCAGCACATCAAATGCCACGTCAAAGCCAAGCACTGAGGTGGGACTCACTAGTCCAGTAGGCAAACGGAAAGGGGAAGGACATTTTCCAGAAACGTCAACGCCAGATGTTGGTTTCACAGCACAGAAAAGCAAAAGTTGCAGGGGAAAGTCATGATAAATTAAAATTGTGTAGAATGAACAGCAGGTACAAAACAGTAGAGGTATAGAAATACAAGAACCCTTCTCATTTGGGGAAGCAAACAGCCTACTGTGAGTACACCGTAAGGTGCACATGGAAGACAGATAAGAAAACTGAGAAACCTATAGGCAGATCAAGAAAGATCAAGTTGAAATGCCCTGTTTTAGTCCCTAAGGATTCTCGTTGCGTACTATGCCAGATTATAAAATACTTATTTTTAAAATGAAATCTATATATTGACTTTCTTATAAATCATCATATTGTGCAATCAAAATTAAGAATTCTTTGAAAACAACACCTAGAGTCTCCAGATAACTTTTAAGACTTCTGTAGTTTTGTGGGTGGTATTTTCATGCAAACAGGTAAGGGTGGGTTTTATATTTTGTAGACCTTTTTGGTCCTACTTTAATACTTTTGTATGGCAGTATGTAGGTAGTGTGTTAAGTTCCTCAAGAATCTCTCCTTAAAAACTTTGAAGTTAATACTTCTGTGCAACTGTGTTTTGAATAAAGCCATGACAGTGTTAAAAATACAGTAAATACAGTACTCCCGGTCATTCTTCTGTTGTTTCTATCCCATTTTTTCTGTGACTGCTGTAACTTAAAAGTTTTTGAAATGGAATTGCTTCAAATAAACTGAAGATTTGTTATAAAAAAAAAAGAAAGATCAAGTTAAAATGGCTGTGGATTTGAGGAACATGATTCACTATATATCTTATTTTAAAGATTTTATTTATTTATTTATTTGAAAGGCAGACTGAAAGGAGGAGGGAGGGAGGAAGGGGGGAGAGAGATCTACCTGTTCTTTCTTTCTCTTTCTCCCTTGCATTCTTTCATCATTTGCTGGTTCACTTCCCAAATGGCCACAACAGGCAAAGCCTCAATCCAAGAAATCCATCTTGGTCTCCTTCATGGGCTGGCAGGGACCCAAGTACATGGCCTGCCCTCCACTGCCTTTCCAGGCACATTAGTAGGAAGCTGGATGGCCAGAACTCAAACTCCACACGCTATTATGGGATGCTGGCATGGCAAACAGTTGCTTAATCACTTCGTATTTTACATATGCCAGTTTCTCACTTTATATTTTAGAAATCTCAGATACTTGCAGGGTGAGGCTGAGATAGAAAAGGTGTACATGGAGGGAGAGAATTGCAGCTACAACTATATCACTAAAATGTGCATAGAGTTTGGCAAAAAGTGGGGATCATGGTTTCTTTAACAAATTATTAGTAGCATGAATA